GAGGAGTTTGAAGTCGCCGTGGTGGTCCGCAAGTGGTCCCAGTGGTCCCGACAGTAACATCTCGGAGGTGTACGGTTTGATTCGATTCGAAACGCGCCTCCAGTAGATCTCTCTTCATGCTGCATAGGGCCACGCTGCACGGTGACATTATGATCCCGTTGGGGGTCATCCCCTGGCCCCGGACCCCTTCCCAGTCCTTTTGCCACTCGTGGGCGGCCAAGAGGGGGGTGATGACTGTGCGTGTGTGTGTGTGGATTTCATGGCGTGGGCTGTGATATCTCCCCGGATTTCCTGGCCTCTTCTTCTTCTCCTTCTGTTAATGCGTTCCCTGGTCCCCCCTCGTCCGCGCGCATGCCTCTGGCCATGATCTGCGAAGCCGAACTGATGGGCAGATTTTCCACCACCACTACCATATGTAGGTCGGGGGAGAAGGGAGGATGAGGAGGTCCTCCTCCTCCTCCTCCTCCTCCTCCTCCTCCTCCTGCTCCTCCTTCTCCTCCTCCTCCTCCTCCTCCTCTTCCTCCTCCTCCTCCTCCTCCCTCTCCCACATATGGTAGCGGTGGTGGAAAACGGGCCCATCCCGAGCCCCCCCTCTCGGACGCGCCCGAGCCACCTCTTGGACTTGCGCTCACCTGACGAGGGGCGGCCGCAAGTGGGCGCTGCGCGTACACGCGCTCCTGCACGGCGAGGCCGGGGGAGATCTGCGCGCCTACTGCCACCGCGACATGATACTGCTGGAGCACGGCCAGCCCTACACGCCAGACCTGCAGGTGCGGGCGGCGCACATCAGCAACGCAGGTCGAGGGAAGAAGCGCGGGGCCCAAGACCAGGATGTCGCGGGACCTCGTCGATGCTGATCGGGGTCCTGGTCCTCGTCTGCCGTCGCCTGGTCGCGAGGCTGATCCGCGAACTGACGTGGACCAGGACGGGTGGTGGCCAAGATCGGCACTGGCATTCCTGCGCTCAGTCCTGGTCATGGTCCCCCCTCTCTGTCCCCCCAGCAGGGCACTCGAAGCACTGGCCGAAGCCGACCCTGCTGGACGACCCGGGCCTCCAGGCCCAGGTCTACGACATCGCCGCGCGGGCCTTCGCCTCGGTGTGGCCGCACGCGCCGCGCGGCCCCTTCACCCCGCGGGGGGCCGAGCTGTGCCAGGTGTTCGGCCTCGACGTGGTGGCGGACGCGCACGGGAGGGCCTGGCTCATAGAGGTCTGGCGTCGCTCGGACGTGTGCATTTTTTTCCTCGGCGAGGACCTTCGAGGAGCATCCTCGACTATCTGGCGAAAAAAACACGCACGAAACCGGAAAAAAACACAGGGAATGGACGTCCGAGCGATGACCAGAGAGGTCAACAGCTACCCCGCCATCCTGTCTGGCACGATGGACCACGTCGACCCCCTCGTCTACACGAGGCTCGTGCGCGACGTGCTGCGGCTGGTGGTGCTGCCGCGCGTGGACGGCAGTCCAGGGAAGAAGCGCGGCGACTCTGGCCAGGATGCCACGCGGGATCTCGTCGACGCCGATCCTGGCCAGGGTCCGTGCCGGCCGTCGTCGGGTCGCGTTCGCGAGGAGGATCCACGGACTGAAGCTGACCAGGATGGGCGTCGGCCAAGATCGACGCTGGCGTCTCCGTGCTCAGTCATGGGGGGGCGCGCAGCGGTCGCCACGGTGCGCGCGCGAGCACCAACACATGCGTGGGGAGGTCCAAGCCCCCCTCCTCCTCCTCCTCCACCTCCTCCTCCTCCTCCTCCTGCTCCTCCTCCTCCCTCCTCCTCCTCCTCCTGCTCCTCCTCCTCCTCCTCCTCCTCCTGCTCCTCCAGGCAGCGCGCCCGACCCGGGCGGCTTCGTGCGCCTCGACGTGGCCGCCGCCGCGGCGGCCTCTGCCGGCGCCGCCGCCGCGCCGGCGGGCCCGGCGGCAGCGGCGGAGGGGCAGTCTCCGCGGCCTGGCGACGAAAAGCTGGCGAGAGAGGATGGGGGAGGGAGGGGGGGGGATAAGGAGACGAGGGAGGAGGGAGGAGGGAGGGAGGGAGGGATGATAGGGATGATAGGCATGATATGGATGATGATGATGATGATGATGATGATGATGATGATGATGATGATGATGATGATGATGATGATGATGATGCTGATGGTGATGATGATAATGATGATGATGATGATGCTGATGCTGATGATGATGATGATGATGATGGTGATGGTGATGGTGATGGTGATGGTGATGATGATGCTGATGCTGATGCTGATGCTGATGATGGTGATGGTGATGGTGATGATGATGACAATGGTGATGCTGATGCTGATGCCGCTGCTGATGATGATGATGATGCTGATGCTGCTGCTGCTGATTATGATGATGATGCTGAGGCTGATGATGATGCTGCTGATGCTGATTCTGATGCTGATGCTGATGATGATGATGATGATGATGATGATGATGATGATGATGATGCTGATGCTGATGATGATGATGATGATGATGATGATGCTAATGAGGAGGAGGAGGAGGCTGATGAGGAGGAGGATGGAGCAGGAGGAGGAGGAGAAGCATTCAGCAGTCAGCATATGTAAGAAGCAGGAGGAGAGGAAGGATACTGATGATGCTGATGATCGTGATGCTGCCGCTGCTGCTGATGATGCTGATGCTGATGCTGATGCGATAATGATGATGCAGAGGATGATGATGATGATGATGATGATGATGATGATGATGCTGATGCTGACGATGATGACGACGACGATGACGATGACGATGACGACGATGATGATGATGATGATGATGATGATGAGGATGATGATGTTGATGATGATGATGCTGATACTGATGATGATGATGGTGCTGATGATGATGATGGTGGTGGTGATGATGACGATGATGATGATGATGCTGCTGATGATGATGATGATGATGATGATGATGATGATGATGATGATGGTGATGGTGATGGAGATGGTGATGGTGATGGCGAGGAGGTGGAAGAGGATGTGGAAGAGGAGGAGGAGGAGGAGGAGGAGGAGGACGAGGAGGAGGGGGAGGAGGTGGACGAGGAGGATGGGGAGGCGGAGGAGGAGGAGGGTAGAGGATGAGGAGAGGAGGGAGGAGAGAGGCAAGCTAGACGCACTCGCGCCTTTTTGGATGTCCTACCCGTCCCTCCTATCTTTTCCTATTGCGCTTTCTTTATACATCCGCTGACGCATGTCATAGCGGGATCTGGAACCCGCCAAATGACGCCATCGGTTTGCGCGCAAGCAGAGAAGGGGAGCTATGCACATTGGGGGAGGAGGAGGAGGAGTTGGAGGAGGAGAAGGAGGCTGAGGAGGAGGAGGATGAGGAGGAGGAGGCTGAGGAGGAGGAGGAGGAGGAGGAGGAGGAGGAGGAGGAGGAAGAGAAGGCTGAGGAGGAGGAGGAGGAGGAGGGTAGAGGATAAGGAGAGGAGGGAGGAGAGAGGCAAGCTAGGCGCACTCGCGCCTTTTTGGATGTCCTACCCGTCCCTCCCATCCCTTCCCATTGCGCTGACTTTTATACATCCGCTGACGGATGTCATAGCAGGATCTGGAACCCGCCAAATGACGCCATCGTTTTGCGCGCAAGCAGAGAAGGGGAGCTATGCACATTGGAGGAGGAGGATGTGGAGGAGGACGAGGCGGTGGCGCATGAGCAGGGGGATGAGCATGGAAAACGGCGCCCAGTCAGCACATATTCAGGGGATCGACCAGCAGCAGCACGGTATTACATAGGGTATTTGTAGAGGAGAAGGATGAGGATAAGGATGAGGCTGATGCTACTGCTGCTGCTGTTGATGGTGATGCTGCTCATTAGGCTAATGATGGTACTGATGATGACGATGCTGATAATGACGATGCTGATGCTGATGCTGATGCTGCTGATGCTGCATAGTATGATGACGCTGGTGCTAATGATTTTGATGCTGATTAGGATGATGCTGCTGCTGATGCTGATGATGATGCTGATGGCGATGCTGCTGATGACGATGATGACGATGCTGACGATGATGCTGATGATGATGCTGATGCTGATGGTGATGATGCTGATGATGATGCAGCTGACGAGGCTGATGCTGATGCTGATGATAATGATGATAATGCTGATTTTGATGATGCTGACGCTGATGATGATGATGATGATGATGATGGTGATGATGCGGATTCGGATGATGATGATTATGATGGCGATGCTGCTGCTGCTGATGATGATGATGATGGTGCAGATGCAGATGATGATGCTGATGATGATGCTGATACGACGATGATAATACTGCTGCTGATGCTGATGCTGATGATGAGGACGATACTGAGGACGATGATGATGATGATGATGATGCTGATGATGGTTCAGATGATGATGATGATGATGATGATGATGGTTGTGGTGGTGGTGGCTGTACTGATGATGATGATGATGAGGATGATGAGGATGATGATGATGATGCTGATGATGATGATGATGATGACGATGATGATCGTGATGATGATGCTAATGACGATGATGATGATGATGATGATGATGATGATGATGATGATGATACTGATGATGATAATGATGATGATGATGATGATGATGATGATGATGATGATGATGATGATGATGATGATGATGATGATGATGATGATGATGATGATGACGATGATGATGATGATGATGATGATGATGATGATGATGATGATGATGATGATGATGATGATGATGATGATGAGATGATGACGATGGCGATGACGATAACGATGACGATGAGTATGAAGACGAGGAAGATTATGAAGATGAGGAGGAGGGTGGGGAGGAGAGAGGAGGGTTAGGGTAAGGGTCAGGTTGAGCGAGAGGAGGGGGAGGAGGAGGAGGAGGAGGAGGAGGAGGAGGAGGAGGAGGAGGAGGAGGAGGAGGAGGAGGATGCGGAGGAGGAGGAGGAGGAGGTGGAGGAGGAGGAGGAGGAGGCAGTGGAAGAGGAAGAGGAGAAGGATGAGGGGGCGTGATCGCCGCTGCCAGGTTGTTCGCGAAGGCAGGCTGACCTATGCGCGTGTGGCGCGGATCCCCACGGACGAGCGGCCGATGGACGGCTCCTTCATCGTGAAGTGGGACGGCTGGGCTGGGATGTCTCCCAAGTTCGAGGGGGAGGGACAGCGTCAGGGATGAGGTTCTTGATGACATAAGTTGGTGGTGGTGATGCTGGTGCTCATGCTGATGATGCTGCTGCTGAGGATGATGATGCTCAGGCTGCTGCTGCTGCTGCTGCTGCTGATGATAACGTAGCACCCCGCAATTGCGGATAAGAGTGA